AGGAGCGATTGATGAAATGATGTATTATGCGAGGTATGTTGATGATACATTCGTCTTATGTAATAATCAACAACATGCAACAAATCTGTTAAAATTGTTCAGTGAAGCTCATCCAAATATTCATTTCACTATGGAACATGAAAAAGAAAACATGTTCCATTTCCTCAATATAGGGATAAAACGAAGAAAGGATGGCACAGTTCAACGCTCAGTTTATAAGAAAGACACATGGAATGGTATTTATCTCAATTTCAACAGCTTTTGTCCAATCAATTATAAAAAGGCGCTTGTCAAAACACTGTTTCATAGAACAGAAAGAATATGTACTGCCGATACAATAGAAGAGGAAATTATGAATGTTAAGTGTTTAAGAAATAACCGATACCCATTGAGATTTGTTGAGAAATATGGAAAACGTGAAGATAAAATACCCAAAGAAACTACAGTAAATAAAAAACCTGCTCTTATTCAACTCAAGTTCAAAGGCGATAATGTCACAGGGTCAATCAATTTGAGACTAAAAACTGCACTGACAAAAACATATCCTGCGGCTGGATTGATTGTCCTGTCCAAAACGACATGTTCTTTGACACAATCAAAGGTCGACAGGTATCCCTTTCATGTTACTACCAACTGTGTTTACAAATTTACATGTATCTGCCAAAGCAGTTACATTGGTAGAACAGAAAGGAGAGCCTACGTCCGATTCAAAGAACATATTCCCAAGAGTTTGAGATCAAACGGACTAAAAGCATTTAGCAGCGCTGTCGCAAGACATCTCCTTGACACAGGATACGAAGTCGATATATTGAAGTCCTTCAGGGTGATCAACAAACAATCAAATTCAAACCTTTTGAACTTCGCCGAAGCAATAGCAATCAAACGTTTAAAACCAGATCTTTGTATACAAAAAGAAACAGTAATAAATCTTTCTTTGCCCTGGTAACACTCACTCCACCCCCCTTTTATTTTATTTATTTTTATTACGTCATTCCAACTCTTTCTGAATTTTGGAATTACATCATTCATAACTGACCTATTTCAATTCATATCTCTCTTTATTAACATTAATCTATTTTCAGTTACTTCATTACATAATCGTCTAATGTGTTTTAATTCCATGATTTCTAATCACTATTTCAATTTTCTGGAACCTTCCCTCCCAAACTCTATATATTCGAAACAAAAATTTTATGACCTCATTAACCCTATCGGAATCTTTGCTGCACCATGATACATTTATGCATCATTAATCACCCTCTGATGTATAAGTATGTCAATATCTATAATAACGGTGAATTTCAAATAATTTAGGTTGTAAGCAGCTGATGAGAACCTAACGAAATAAAATGAATCCATTTATTATTCTGCACCAATCTTTGTTCTTACTCTCTTTAAAATAATAAAGGGAACTATGTGTATGAAATAATATTTGCTTTTGCGAAACTTTATAATTTGTTGGGCTATAGGTATTTACCTTACAGAATACATTTGTGTTAAAAGTGATCTGTTGTTAGTTGGTGAAATATTAAAAATGGTATACCGGTGAATGATTATTGATTTTAAAAAAACAAACATTAATAGTACACTTAGGTAATGTGAGCATACAACGTGGATAAAGATCGAACTCAGAACATACAAGTCAAAAGAATGAATAAATGGATACCATTGAGGATAATATTACATAGTTCACACGTTTAATTGCAGTTAGTTCAAAATAGAATGTAACTATTATCAGTTGCCAATGTTGATATTTGCTATACTTCTTAAATGAATGAAATCCAACAGATATAGATTTTAACTAGAATTTCAACAAGTTATCCACTGGATAACTATACAAAGATCTAATGTTTGTGAACTGTCAAAGATGACTGTATATTTTGTATTTTATCCTTAACACGTTGATTTACGAACACATCTAAGGAATCGCTTATGAACTATCTACTTATTGATATCTATTTTTCAATGGTTATACTGTGATGTGTGCTACTTATATTGACATAAGTAGTAGATAATGTTAGTCGTGAACAGGTCTGACAGCAGAGAGATAAGAGGATCAAATAGTAAAGAATGGAAACAGAATCCAATTTGCATGAAAATGCAAAAACAATGAAGTCTGAGTCATTATGAGACAATTGATGGACAGTTTGCAAATTAGGCATTAACATTATGATTGCTAGATTTTATTAACAGGTCCTGTAATTTTGTTTCAAATGCATTCGATTTCGCCCACTGGTGTTCTTGTTCACTGCAATACAATTGTTTTTAATTAGAGATAAAAACTATCCTTATCTTAAACTAATCTTAACAACTTACTCAACTAAATCATTTCATTTTATCCTTTATCATTTATTCAATAACATTCAGTTGTGAATGGTTGATTTACCTAAAATAACGAAATAATGTTTAATGTTACATAACAACATGTCCAATTAAAACGTAGTTTCTAGGCATTCAATATCTAATTGTAAATAAAATACCGCTAAAATCTAATTAAAATCAAGGTCATATAAACAAACATTTAAACCTGTTTCATGTTTTTTTTCCTTCGTTTAACTAACTAAGTTTTTTTGTTTTTTAAAACTTAAATACTTCCAGGTATCTGGTCATATTTATCTTAATTGACTTTTTTTTGGTTGCTACGGCAATCTCAAAGAATCATTTTGAAAATACGGTCCCGTTTTTTCGGTTTTCTTTTAGTTTTTTTGGTTTTCTCTTTTTTTTTGATTTTTTGGTTTTTCAAAGTGTTCATCTTAATTAATAATTAAATATGTTAATATAGAATTTAAAAGAAAATTTATCAAAGAAACAAATGGATTGAATTGAAAAATTGTTTTTCAATCATAAAATTTTCCGACAAACTAAATAAACATGCTTTTAATTAGGTATCAAAGAAAAGAAAAAGCACTATTGATCTAATCAAAGGGAAATTAAAACAATCATAGAAATGAATTCATTTGGTATTGGTTGTTTGAATCTTTTCATTGATGTTTAACACTGTCACTGATCAACCACTTATTGGCGTATGTGTATCCTATTACTGTAAGTTACAAGCATTATAGGCGGAGATGATGGTGTCTAGCTGTGAAATTTAGGATGCGCATTTTGTTCTATTTAGAACTCGTCGGATGGATGTACGTGCATCTCAGAGTTGATGTTCACTCTTGGACTGGAACTCAGTATCGTTCGCTTCAAATGTCATTGCGTTACCCATTTAGCTACTGAATTGTAATAGCCACTTGTTTGTAAAATGGAATGAAGTTTTAAATTTAATTGGTATTGTTTGTTTGAATCTTTTCATTGATGTTTAAGACTGCAATTGATCAGTATTTTATTCGCATATGCGCATACTATGTGTATTGCTTCGATATAGCCTTTAATTTACAATCATTATAAGCAAAGATGGATTTAAATAAGTAACATAAGCATTATCAATAGGTATAATGATTGCTATCAAGATTTAAGCCATAGAATAACAAAATGATAACACTTGATCTATAGTGAACGAGAACATAAGTGAGGACAATCAAATGCATTACAACTTAAAATTACAGAATATCTTAGTAAAATCTGAGAACTATACAGTAAATAGTTCATATGTAAAATGTCAATCAATCGTCTTAGACTTCATTGTTCTTTCGTTTCCAAACCAATCATTCTATGCTCTTGTTCTCATTTCTTTGATCTTCTTCACCTACTGCCATCAGATATTTCACTTTCGATTGATGATATATACTACTTATATCTGTCTACATCAGTAGCACACTACATAATACTTGTTATATCTTCGTAAGAATGTATAAAGTATTGAGGTTTTTAGTTGGTCTGAGGTAAATTCTATTTACCAACGATTTATGATATTTCAAATATGAATCAACCAATGAAAACTAGAATAGACCGGATATCCATTACATAAAAGCATTTTAACGTTAATAATTCATATGCTAACAGAAAAAAAACGGAATTTCCAAACGCTGAAGAGTTACATATTGTGACGAAATAATTGTCTAGTTCTATCTGGATATCATTAATTATCTGATTATAATCAGTTCTTATATAAAAGTAATTTTGACCAGCGTTCATCTTATGTATATCATACAATTCAGTTTCAGTAGCAACACATAATGGTTGATGAAACGTTTTCTTAAATGAACTGTCATTCATTTTTTTCGATAGATGCTATCAGTGATAGTAAATCTTATTTGAAACTAAGAGTACAGTTTATATTACAATGTTAAAGATGAATGAAATTTTATTTAGAATGCAACTCTTAGGCCTTTACTAAGTATAAGGAGGAACACAGTCCCAAATAGAACAGAACATTTCACTGCCTTCCGCTATTCAGCCCTGCTTAAAATTCTTGTGACTTAATTGGGATATTAAGCCAATCCTCGAAGAATGAACGTGTGCTGAAAAAGACATTCCTTAGCATCAACAATGATAAGATTTAAACAACCCTTACAAATAAACATCAGTATCATTTTTTAAACTGTAGTTTATAAGCTGGACTAAAATTTTGATTAGTGTATGGCATGTGTACATCTTGAGTGGATATTTCAATATTATCTTCATGTTAGATTTGTAACTAGTAGTGGATTCCCGGGTAAACATATTTCGAAGTATGAACTTTTCGCCTACGTTTGCCTGAATCTAAATCCCGATGTTTTTACTAAGACTCATATCCACTACTTATTAATTCAAACGTAAATGTCTTATCTATTAAGCTATTGAATTCACACATCCACTCATCTGTTCAACGGACATGATTATTGTTAGCAAGTGTTCATGTCTAAACTGAATGCAGATTAAACTCTATATGACTAATAGTCGTCTATTGGTAAACAAGTAGGACTGAATTAATTACAACACTAGGACCGTTTATTCAGATGACACAGAAATGTTGAATTTCGGTTCTTGTAATATACGGCAGTTATTTGTTCTTTTCAAACAAGACATAATTTAATTGTTTGTATTATAAATTCATTTATTTTAAAAATTAGGTATCTGAAACCAATGATATTGGATTATTAATTGGAGAAGTTACAGCACTGGATCCTGATCTTGGATTAAATGGTGAACTGAATTATTCTATTCAGTGGCCTCCAGGTCAAGGACCGAATCCTTTTGAAGTTAATGAAAAAGGTGAACTGATAACTCGTATGCCACTGGATAGAGAAAATCAACCCGAAGGTTATCATTTTATTGTGAGTGTTTCATGACAATTATAACAAGTTATATAGTAATATTCAAAATTAATTAAATTTCTGGATAATTTTGTATATCTAGAAGGAAGTTGATTTGATCTTTGATTTGAATCATCTGTTAATACATACTCCTGATCAAAGTAGATACAACATATAAATGAGGCAACAATGACAGTTGCATTTTCAGACTCTGAATACACTTGTGTATACCACTTATGTGCATGTACAGGTAGACAAATTGTTATAACTTGTGGCGTTGTATCCTATTAAATATAACGTAATTATACCATCAATTAGAGAACAGTGATTTATCAACCGGACCGATGACGTATAAAATCCGTACGAGCAGTCTTGATTCCTTACCGGTCCTGCTTCCTGCCTAGCCCTGCCTGTTAATTCCAGAATACCAATATCAGCCTTAGCGATATGAATCATTTATTTCAAACATACTGGGTTTATATACAAACCAAACACACCACATCGTACCATAGAATAAGAAACAACATTCGCACAAGATTTAGCCAGAAGTGGTTGAGAATGTGGGAGATAGTAATTGATAGACTGGGTATAACTCAAGAATGGTAAATCATATAATAATAATTTATAAGTCAAAATAAAGCTTATGATAAAAGGAAGACGAATATGAATAGTTTGGTTACTTTACAAATGCATAATAAAAATATATGTGTAGTAATAGACCAGAAATAGATTCCAACAGTTACCATTCATTATTTTCATCGGGGTATAACACAAATCAACCTTGAGGTAGACATTTAACGTATAACCTTATACATAAAACGTTGCCTGGATCAACACCTAATTTATCGTGCAACTTTCAAGCGATCTGTAACCTACTAGTGATGTCAAAGAAATTATAGACTAGCCAGTGTTAGATTTTAGTGAATAGTATTTCGTGAATTATTGTGATGTTTTGTTTTCCAAGCTGAATGATATTACTGAGTTTTCATTATCATTCTGGGATACATTACCGATCCATACTTGATGTAGAACTATTCAGAAATGAATTTAAAATTCTGGATTAATGGAATTTTAGGAATCCCAAAGGATTGCCAGACCCACAGCATTCAAATAAGTTAGTTTATCAGAAGACAACTTAACAAGATAGTGAAAGGGCATAGGACAGTATATGTCGATGACAAAACTTAGTGAGACAGACAATCATAGATGTAGTCATTAGAACAAGTTTTATTGACAGTTGTCTACACAAAATACTTCTGATCTGTTGGCCAGACACTATCAGCAACAACCCACTATGAAAGAGAACAAACCAGATCCTAACGGAGGAAGAAATCAGGATGAAGCGATGGAAGTGGATAGGACACACATTGAGCTAAGCACCCAACTGCATCACAAGGCAATTCCTCAATTGTTCATTCATTACTAGAAAATAAAAGAGGGTACCATTACAAACTGAACGTTATAAAGAGAAAAAAACACAAAACCAAACTGAAATGATTAAAAAATCAATTCAAATAAGACATTTTCGATTAAAATCAATAAAAAACTTCTTTATTGATAATAAAAATTGGGGGGGGGATTTTTGTTATTCGACCAAAAATGATGTATTAATGAAGTTATGTTCTTTGAGCTCATTCATCTAAGTTACAAATCTTCTTCACCATCTCAATGATGTCTATATATGTATATATATAGAGAAAGTTATATTATGATTGTTATTATATATACTTATTGGTCAATACAAAAAGAAACATTCCATTTCATTCGATTTTGATTTTGATCTACTTTTTCAATGTGTTCAATGGATTGTTGGTGTTGTTGTTTTATTATCTACTTACTTATTTGTTGAATTCATTCATTCATTCATTCATTCAAATGACTATTTTATCATTAATATTTTTTATTAGTTTAAATTTGTTCTCTGAATGATCAAGATAGTTAAAAGAATAATTAGATAAAAACAAGAATTGTAAAATAGGAAATAATGATCAGTTTTGATTCGACTTTTTTGTTTAAATTAATGTATGGAGAAAAAAATAGTGAATGCGTAGATGGTCTTGAGATGGTGGAGAAGATTAGTAGCTCAGGTGGATGATTTTGATGTAGTTTTGTTCTCCACGATCCCATTCATTGGATTTAAACCCAGGACTTATCGGTCTCGTGCATAAACGATTAACCTCTAGACCACTGAACCGGCATTCAATGGTGTTGATGTTTAAAATTTCACGAATTTTATTGAAAGAAAAGTCAACTTATTAGATAAATTTCATGTGGTAGGTTTTTGAACAATGAAAAAGAAATGAAGTTACTACTTGTCTTGTTAATTCTAGACTAGTTAATGACTGTTTTTATCATTATGTGCTGATATCATCTGAAAAGTTGAGCAATTTTTGGTTATATTGTGTTTTGTTGACTGTTTAATTTAATTTCAAAGCTTTCATTATTCTTCTTGACAAAGGTTCCATCAACCATTACTACAGATAAAAGTGAACGTTTTTACTATTTTACAAATTCTAGTTCAACCGATTTTTAATGATTTTACCTATAAACGGTTGTCTTTGGAGTTTTGTCAAGTTCACCTATCTTTGTATGACTACTGACTGTCTTTTTTACTGACCTTTGATCATGTTATCAGTTGGCCTTCATCCCATAAATTGGTAAATAGTCTATGCGTCTATTAATTGCAGACTCCGTGACATTACTTGGATTTCCTCGATTAATTAATTTCCAAAATTTTCCTGTCAAACTCCCGTTCATAGTTTCCATCGTAAAGTACTGCCTGATTCTTCTGTTATAGCTTAGAAATGATCAGTAGTGAGTAACCTAATATCTCACTTGAGACTGTACTCAGATCTTCAAAGACATTTCGAAAAAAAAGTGTATGATTGAAGAGATTTTGAGTGCGATCCTAGGAATGTGAACAGTTTCACTTCGTAGTTGCCCTAACCATGGAAGAATGTTTTTTCTTAACATTCTTGTAGAGGAAACTAGATTAGTAGTGGTCTTGTTGACCTAGGAGTGTGTTTATAGAGTCTAGGGGAAATTCACTTTCAGTCAGATACACACAACCTTAATCCCATAGTCCTCGATGTGTTAGCTCTGCATTTTAGAGATGTTACTACCGACGACCTAAATCTCTTGGGTAACTTGAGGTATGCCGATCTTGTTTAACCTCGGGCTTCCTCAGTAGGAAGGTAGTATCAATGAAGATGATGGTTATCTCAGAGGAACTTTTCAATACTTTCACACTTCTGTAAAGCCAGTGGTACAACTTAGTTGTCAGAATTTAAGTTGTTGCTGGATCCCAACGTTCTCAAACCGACCTTTCTGATATGATAGGAACAAACAGAACAATATAGCCAATGTAACTCACGTAGTTCATTACCACAAGTAAGCCGAGACACCATATCAAGGTAGAGGCTACAATTAGAGCACGAAATAGTGTTAGGATGATCTAGTAAAAGACCCAGGTTGATTTAATTTAGCTTATGAATATTGCAGCTGTAAAAGCATCAATCGTAATGATATGCGATGCTAAAAGTTCCATGGATGATGAAAACGGGATACTAGTTTATAGAGTATTGAAATGTTCATCTAAATTATATAATGGGGTGCATGTTTTTAATCTTTTTTTTCAGCTTGTACGGTTTCTACTTATGGGTATTTTCTTAGCCAAATTGACGACAGAATACTAGGTCTCATAAAATGTGTTTGTTTTTATACAGAAATCAATTAAGATTAGGAATGACATTTTTATGACGCAAAATATGAGTCTGAAACAAATCGTTAATGAATAGATTTACGTAGCATGATATCCCTTCATGATAGGAACACCAAAGTAAAACTATAACTGATTATATTTTCTATCTGTAAAACAAAACTGTTGTGTCTTTAGGTCCGGCTAGTTATCACGTGGTTTGTTCACCAATCGAAATGTGACCTATTCAATTTTAGCACTGTGCCAAACCAATGACGCTCGACCGGTATGATCAGCCTAGTATCTTTATTGGTCCTTCTCCCTCCTAGACCTGCTAGTTGAGTGCAGAACGCCAATACCGACTTCCACTATGCGAATCATTTATTTCAAACATACCTGGTTTATATACCAGTCAAACAGACCTCATCACACCATAAAATAGGAAACAACACTTATACAAGATCAAGCCAAAAAATTGGCTATGAATACGGGAGACTGTAATTAATAAACTGAACATAATTTAGGAACGGTAAATCATATAATAATGACCTATAGGTCAAAATGACGCTTATGGTAAGAGGAATATAGATATACATAATCTAGTTACTGGATAGTTATACAATAGCTATATATGTATATATTTATACATAATATTAGTCCATTAATAGATCTCGGAAGTTACTCGTAATTCAATCTTCACTAGGATATAACAAAAACATTTTGTAATTGATTTCAGTAGTTGGCCAATATAATCTTATGTACTATATACTAATTGTTATTGGGTAACACAACTGCGTAGCTTTTTATTTAATCTGATTAAAAGACTTATACAAAAAGTAATCTTGAAATAGGTTATTCATCAACAAGAAACCTTAATCAGGTAAGGTTTTATGACAATGTCAAAGACCAACCCGAAATATTATTATTAGTAGTAGTAGTGTAATGAACGAGGACAAGTGGAAACAATCAAACATACTTGAACACAAATTTACAGAACATCTTAGTAAAATCTGAGAACCATACAGTGAATATTTCATTTGCAAAATATCAGTCAATTGTCTCAATCTTGACTGTTCCCTTTTCAAATATCAATCAGTCGTCTTAGACTTCATGGTTCTTGCATTTTCACACCAATTACTTTTTGTTCCCGTTCTTTCCTTTACAACTTTCTGCTGCCAGAAATTCTAATTCTGACTATCATTATATACTACTCATGTCGATATAAGCAGCACACACCACAATAGTGTTAGTATTATTATTATTATTATTTCCGTATGTTTTATCATGTTGTAAGTGAAAATCTATAAACCTTGACTGTCATCATAGTTATTTTGTTCATTACTGATTAATTAAACTAAGCATTTTATTATTTGTACTTCGAGGTGATGTTAACAATTTAGTGTCATTAATTGTTTTCGATCGAAACATTCAATACTTTACTTGTACTATGTAACATTCATTTTATTCATTATACCTAATGGATGAAGGTAATTTTTTTCTTCTCTTTGAAATGTATTTAGAATTCTTTACCATTTAAGAATGTCTTGTTTTTTAATCCTACCGGTTGTGATCAATGCTAGATTAGTGAATTAAAACAAACAAACAAACAAGCAAACATGATATATCAATCTGATCTATTTAGATTGAGATATGTATAGGATTTTAGAAAGGAAATATCCCCATTTACTTTATCGAATTCTCTTTTGTACTACTTAAATGTTTGTGATTGTACATTAACTGTAGGAATTGAAATTGAGACATAGAATGATTGTTTATGTTCTTTTGTTGTTGTTGTTGTTGTTGTTGTTTAAGTGTATTTTTGCTACGTTAAACATTTTGTGTTGATGGTTACTAAAACATTAAACAACATGATTTAATTCAAACAATTATTTGTATTGTAACTAGATGAATAGATCAACGTTTTACTGTTGCAAATGACTACTGATGAATAGTCCCATACTAGGACGAAACAACCATTTAAGGCTTCCAGGTTTTCAATGGTAGTCCAGCTTCAATTGACTCACAAATTCATCTACTAAATTTTTACTAACTGTTTAATGAAAATTAAAAATGGAAACCACTGGATATTAGCTATTTAGTTTGAATGTTAAATACTTGCAGGGAGGATTGAAAGGTTTAATCTCTCGTAGAATTGTGTATACTCACTTCAGATGATTTTATACTAGAATGAAGCAATTATCTAGAGTTTACTGGTTTTTAATGTTTATTGAGTTACAGTCAATACGTCACGCAAACTACAAACTATATCAGTTATGCTCTTAAAGTGAACCTACTTTAAGGTTACATGACTTACCAACATGTAACATGGATTTAGAAAATGTTTAGCTTCTTATTGATACACTAACGCTAAGTGTATATCCATTGATGGACTCATAATTTATGTAGTGACATCTAAAACCTTCTCACTCTAACACACAACGATGAGTTAAACAACTTAATCACGAGACAGATGATTGAAATTGCTATCAGGAAAATAAGTCATGCATTTAAACTTTTCACCACGATGACAGAAATAACTAATGATTGCACATAAACTTCAGCATCATATAAATAGACATGTCGTACTCCAGTGGGTTTATCTGTTTATATTTTTGTACACTTACATAAAGAGAAGTAATTTCATGTTTCAGATGACGATGACAGAGTTTAAAGAGGAATGACTTCAACGTTGATGTAGGAGTTGTCAAAGTTGTATTCAAATGTTTGAGAAAGATGTAGTCATCATAAAAAGGAGTTTTAAATGTCCATAGTTTACACAATGGTGTGATCTTAGTTAAACAACTATTGGAAATCAGGAAGCACTGGACAAGTGTTTCGTTATTGTATGGGACCTATCAACAGTGTATCTCCATGACTTTACCGGTGACCAAACCCAGAGCCTCCAGGTCTTATTGAGAAGACTTAATGTTTATACCGATGAGCTGAAATCTAGTAGTGTACATGTCTAACCACAATCGATTCGCCAAGTTGCACGATGAACCGTTTTTGCAATGGGTAGTTGTTATATAACCGGTGTGACTGAACTTCACTGGTCACAGCTTCTTCTAGAGTCATCTCTCAAAGTTACTCAATAGTCTTATGCTAGAAGGAAAAGGCTGTCCATTGCTTCCTTGTTTTCAGTAATCAGTTCATGATGCTAACGATGAGAATTCTATAATATCTACAAACCCCTATGTTAGTTTCAAATAAACTGTTCTAATCCTAAACCTGTCCTAGTAACTTTTAATGCATATTCACTGTCAGAGATACTGTGGAAATTTGTATTGTTTTCTTTATTTCCTAGATTTTCAATGGTTTGGGATTATTCACTGGTATATTTTTAGTTTCTGTATAAAACTCGTTGACAAGTGAGAATCTATGTCATCACACTAATCAAAACATGTAATATATGAAATACATGTCATAACCATTTGTAGTTCATCTTCGAATTTCTATTACTCTGTTGAAATTTATACACCTAATATCACATAAATTTACACAAAGAAAAACAGTTCGTCATTAATAAATTGACATTTAGTAGTCATCTGATTGTTTATTCTCTGAAACATCTGAAATATCAAAGAAACACTTCAAAAATACGTACAGTCCTAATTCATTTATATACTTGATTTCAGTTTGTTCAAATACCTCTATAGAAGCATAAAAGCCTTGGGTTTGATATGTAATGGCGTCATGGAAGAATACAGCCATGCACTTTCATACTGGTTTTCAATGATGATTTAGCCTGAGTCATTTCATAACCATTAACTATGAACTAAGCAATCTCAACAAAAGTTCGTTGCTAATAATAATCAAGGAAACATGTTTCATGCTACATAGAACTCACCAACTGAGTATGCTTACACCCTAATGTTGATGAAATCCATGTCTAATTTTAACACAACTCACCCAATCTCCAGCTACTTCTACTCCAGTAACTCCACATTATCATAATCATCATCAATAATAATAGTGTTATTCAAAAGTATTAGTTTAGGGGTTGTAGAGAATGTTAAGTTTTGATTGAGGTCGTGAACCTATCGTGGGACTCCCCAGCAATGCGCATCCACGATTCCGCTCGCGGGATTCGAACCCAGGGCCTTCGGTCTCGCTTGCGGACGCTTATCCTACTGGACCACTGAGCCGGCATCAAATGGTGTTAATGTATAACCTCAACCAATCCACGAAGTTGCGCAACCATCTTCCATTGTACTGAGGTAGACATTTGTTTCTACCCGACACGGATTAGCTCCACTGATCACGGCTTCTCACCAGAACTCCGAGAATTTTTTCACGAAGCTAGTCACTAGTGAGCAAATGGTAATTATCAGTATATATATATATATATATATATATATATATATATATATATATATATATATATATATATATATATATATATATATATATATATATATATATATATTTATTGCAGTCCTAAATAACAATGGGAAGATACACCAAGAATTCAGTCATGTGTTTTGAAATCTACCGGCTGTTTTCAAACACGTTAGCCAAAAAATATTTGGAATAAAATTGTTTGATTTAACATAATATAATCCAAGCAATGAGAGTAAACCTTTAAAAGTATATTTAACTGTACATAACACATGATAACTGAAGATTTCAGATTGTGTCATTAGAATTATTTCCACAGATCTCATTTCCGATCTTAACACTGGATATTAGAATACTATTCAACTGGATCATTAAATGAAATCCAAAAACTTGAAATCCGCTCAGTTCATTTCATATGTTGAATACCATCATGTACATTATAATATGCTTACTCATTAGCATACACTATGAATGAGTTTTATCTAGAATGAAACCACCATAAAATTTTCTGAGATGGTGGAGAACATTTGTAGCTCAGATGGATGATTTTGGTCTACAGGATAAGCTGTGGAGAAATTCGAATACTTCACTTCTACCTGAAGTTTGTATTGATGATGTTGTTTAGAATAACAATGAAAGCTCCACGACTAAACTATCCAGCTCAAAGAAAAAAATTCCCCTTGACTGATTAACAGTTTATTATGTAATCAGTGAATGATTAACTTTTTCTTTCAAATTTCTTCATTTAATCTATAGGTAAATGCATATGATAATGGTGAACCACGATTATCTGGATCAACACATGTAGAAATTGCTTTAATTGATATTAATGATTGTCATCCAATATTTACACAAGTCAATTATCATTTTTCATTAGATGAAGAATTAGAAATGAATTATACAATAGAATCATATGTAATTGGTCAAGTGAAAGCAACTGATTGTGATATTGGTTTGAATGCTCAATTAATCTATTCACTTGATACTACTATAAATTATAAAATGGATCATCCATTTCAAGTTGGTAAAACTTATATTATTCCATTTTATTTCATTTGAATAACACTAATTAACTCATTAATTCCTTGGTTATCTATTAGGTTCTCAATGTTCAAGTAGAATGTTTTATCTAATACTATCAAGTTATTTTTTCCCTTTTCATTTCATATGAAACGTCTACCGTTGTCAGCTATCATGTTCTATGAATATGTTAGTGTACATCACAACAGCATACAGGATAAAATGAAATCTCTGGTGACGATTATATTTTGATAACTAGCAATCATAAACTTAATGAAATGGAACATATCAGGAAATACTGTGTATAAAACACCATTTTAATTTTGAAAACATGATGGATGACCTCAGCTGTCATGTGAAACGATAGAATACTTTATGATAGTATATATTGTTGACACGTAATAGAATATAAAATCACTTCAAATTTACCTTTCGTAATGCTTGATGATTGAAAACGATCATGGACAGATATGAACGTGTTTCACGGGAATACATGAAAATAGAATGTAAATATACATATAAAGCATTTATCATATTGTATACACATTACAAACAGTTGGTTCAGTGTGAAGAATTTATTTTCTGACTAGATCATCATCAGTGTAATACAATCTTGTATAATATACCTATCTGTTAAATTGTTAACCTGAAAATTAGTTGTCATGTATGTTAGAATAGTTTTCGAGGCGTTAAGAATTCGTGACTACTGGAGTTTAGCCTTTTTCAAGATGAAACAGATATAAAAAATAAGATAGGTTAACTGTTCCTTTATATAGCTTGATGGTCTTGACCGTCTAATTCCAACGGAGTGTTCTAAATGTAACGTGTTTACCTTGAGAATTTAGGAATCTACGTTTGATCCCTTATATATTTGTGGGTACACGCACTGATAGGAAGAAATGACAATTAAGTACTCTCTCATTGTTTATCCGATATTATCTTAATATTAAGACACACTGGTTTTGGGGATAAAACTAAGTTTTGGAATCGCGGATGTCAATTCTAGATCTATGTTTAATTTACTACATGTTACAGAATAAAAGATGTAATCAACTTTCATTGTCCTTTGTCAAATCATTCTTGAAGAGGCTATTGAATGCATTGAAGGAGAAAATTTTATTTTTCGCTTTTTTTAAAAACTAATCCTGAGATGTTAGGTGATCGTAAGTGGTCAACACGACATCTTGAACCTAGTTCTTGTTGTATTTAATAATTGTCAACAACGTGTACCCATAAACCTGAGGACACGAATGATCTCTATGGGATTCGAACCTGTGTCACTGTGCGACCTTATCAATATCCTATTCTGGCTGAGACCGAACTCCTATAAAATATAGATATTTAAAATTGACAGGTCATAGACAGAGTTATAACCACTTAGATTTATTTGACATTGATTAACTGGAATAGGAAATTTAAAGAAAATTCCCATTGCTCTATTGAAATTCATAAAAGGGATTAATTGCTTTAAAAAAGATTTTTATATCACATAATTAATAAAATGGGTGTGTGTAATTGTGCGTGCTGGTTCACCAATACGTTAAAGATTAATGTAATTAAAACTGGCAAACAACATATTATTCAGCTAATGAAGTCAATTAGTAGCATATTCATTCGTAGAGATATTCATCCCCCTACTCTCTCTCTCTCAGAGTAGGTTGATATTTGCGTATAAACTCTAGTTAACATACATTTTGATCATAATTTTCTTTGGGAAAACGGTTCTTGTCTAAAATATTTATGAAGTAGATATATCATGAATACAAGTGACGAAAGTATATAGTAAATTTTTTATTATAATTTATTAAAGAACAAACTGTAGAAACTTGAAAGTTGTTCTATATAAGAATTCGTAGAAATTAGTTGTGGTGTGGGTTACTTATATCTACACAAGTAGTACATAACGGTGGTCAGGCATAGAATGTATTTCAGTAGAAGGTCGATGAGGAAAGAACAGGAACGGAACACAATCGGTATGAAAACGCATGAACAATGAAATTTGAGACAATGGATTGATGTTTGCAATAGGAACAGTCAAGTTTGATATGATGAATTGATATTTTGCAAATTAACGATTTACTATATGATTCTCAGATTTTATCGAGATGCTTCTTAATTTCGTGTCAAATACATCCAATTGTCCTCACTGGTGTTCTGTTCACTGTTTTTCTTTAAAAAAAAGCAAATCAATTTTTTAGTCCATCTGGGATTATTTTCGGTTCACAACTGCAAAGTCAATCTTCCCGATGAATTAGATTTTTGAAACATGTTACACATTTTGTAGATTATTGATATCCAACATCTTAAGTTAAGTAAAATGACCTAGAACTGATAGAACTGGAAAATTCATAAATCGAAACGAAAGTTGTAGTACAAGATATTTCTAAAAACTATCATATCTATACTGAAAATATCAGGATTATAAAGGTTTTTCCAATCGTCAATAAAGGTGAATAACTGATATGTTTCATACAATGGTAAATCTTTTTATCGTCAATACTAAAGAAAGCTTGACTATTCATTTAACTTGGACAGTTGGTACAAACAGCTTTATTTAATTCTATTCATTTTTTACATGTTTGATAAATCTACACAGGAATATACTTACTCACATTATAAATGTCACACTTCACACGCTCACCAGCATACGTGCAATTGCACATAGTAATGTCTCACACAGAATCACCTTGATCAAACTTATATAACATCAACATAATTGGACCTGTTTTGATTGAACTAAATATTCTGCCTCGTTCCTCGATACTATTTAAACTTTTATTATTATAATTCAGTTATTTATTTATTTCTTCATTCTGTATAAGTGGCTCGTATTAAGTCACAAAACATCAGAAATTCTAGTTTCTACTCATTGGGATATATCAATATTATAATGTTAACCACTTTACTTCTACTTTTACTTACTTACGCCTGTTAACCCCAATGGAGTATAGGCCGCCGACCACCATTCTGCAACCCACACTGTCCTAGGCCTTCCTTTTTAGTTCTATCCAATTATTGTTCATTCTTCTCATGTCTGTCTCCCTTTTCTCGGCGTAATGTGTTATTTGGTCTTCCGCTTCTCCATCAACCTTGAGGATTCCATGTGAGGGCTTGCACTGCGACGCAGCTGTGTGCTTTCCTCAATGTGTGTCCTGTTTACTTCCATGTGGAGCCCCTCTGGAGGATACTGCCGTTCCCAAGCCCGGATAAAGGAGGAGGGTTAGGCAAGGGGTTGGGGACCCCATCCCACAGAAAACTGATTCGCTAAAAAAGCTAACCAGAAAAAATAATTCAAGCCATTTAAACTCTGCCCTGGGAGTTAGAACGTCTTCAGTGAGAAGAGTTATGACGCCTCATGGTGAAAGCTGAGTTCCTTCGGAAGTCACGAGACTGACAACTAGAGCAACCATTAATTTAGGTATATGGAATGTTAACCACTTATCGATTGCTTAATAATCAAGTCTATCCTTGAAGGTGACTTATAAGACAGTTGAATTACTAATAAGCCTATTGGTGACTAATTTTAAGGAATGTAAATTACAACATGACACTAATCATGATTATGTTTAGATTGTAGTGATTATTGAATTCTATCACACCTTGAGATTTAGAGCTTTTTGTGGATTCCCCATAATTATCAAATATTAAATAAAATCCATTATGATGTCGAGCTACTTGGTCATCAGTGTTTTATAATGGTTGCGAACAACTTATTCAGGTAAAATGTTGCTCTTTATATATTTCTTAATAATGAGAAATTATACTGCCATTAAATGATTTGAGCTGATTGGTCCAATAGCAGAACACATTGGCCAATAAGATACTTTTGACTAAGCAACAGTATTCACCAAACACAATTGATTGATCACTGAGTGGCGATCACTGTCATGTATGTCAGGTCCTTCTTAGTGCAGATCGAATGCTATCGACTAAGTTGCAATGTGGCTATTAGTCTAGGTGACTCGACATTGATCAATCAAGTGCAAATACATCTCAGTTCTACAGCGATTCGGTCGTGGCCCAGATAGCTCAGTGATAACGTCTCTGACTGTGAAACTGTGTGACACGGGATCTAATCCATCAGGGAGCACTAGTTCGCTCGAGATTACAGGTACACCTTGCTGACGAGTATCAAGTAGCACGAAACCCGGGTCCAGGGTTTCCTGTTGACTACCTCCAACCACCATCTAATATTCACCAAACTCTGGAGTAAAAACATTTCTACCTAACCCATATGTGACTGGAAATGTTGACTTATAGTTCCACTGCTCTCTTTAAAGTTCAGAATCTATTAGCTAAAAGATAAATATTAAAGTAGTTTAATCGTTATGTTTTTTTCATCTTCTCATTATTGTTTGTGGAATTTGTCTTGTTAAGGATGGATTTTTCAAGTAAACAAAAAAACTTTTCTACATTTTAATACATTTAGGTAACAAAAGATGGTTATGTAAAAACAACAAAAAGTATTGATCGTGAAACACATCCAGCCTTTTTACTTCAAGTTCTAGCTACTGACAATCCACAAACACCGGAAAAGCAACTTACAGCTACAGCACAAGTTCATATAACCATCTTAGATATTAATGATAATGAACCAATATTTCAAAGACCACCGTTTGATAATGGGACTAATGAGGTAAGAATAATTGTTTTTAGATAAACACATAGTTTTGTGAGCTGATTAGCCGAAATTTACAGAAGACTTTAAAGAATATTTTTGATAAGATCATATGATTAAAGTTTAGGATGTGTTCAAGAAAAAAGCTGTTGTTTTTCACATATTCACTTCTGAGTAACCAGGCAGGGTAAAGTTTGAAGAACTACCTAGAAATAGCATACCTAATATGGCTGATATAACCTACTATACAAAGTTAGGTAAACTAGTGCATTGACCTTCAGGCGACCCAAGTAAAAGTCCATCTTCAACACATAGAATCGCCGATCGACTTGGAAATAATATCCCGAGCTCAGGTGTATAGGTATTTCTTTTAGAAATATTGGCAGTCACCTGTTAAGATCGCTGGTACCATTTACTTTTGTGGAAGGTCCATCAGCCTGGTGTATTATTTCCAGTTTTCGATCGATGAATCAAAGAAAATAGCCATTTGAAACAAAACTGACTGATTTATTTTTTCCGAAATAATTGTCAATTTCACCTTTAGTATACATTTATCCTGATCTCTTCAATTGAAAATGGATTACATTTCTCTTCCTGATCAATAATGATCAATTTTGACAATTAATAAACTGTCTATTTCAATTTATTTTCATATTTATATATGAAATGAGTCAATTAGATATTTTAAAACAGTTTAAAAGTTGAACGGAATAGTTAAAGTGTCCACAGTAACAGGTTTATAACAAGATAAGTAGGTAACATCCATTTGGAAACTAAATTTTATTTTATTAATGAATGTTAAACTCAATGAATTTTATTGAGTAGGATTAAAAGACAATAGTTTATGAATCCGATTTTAGTATTAAAATGTCCTTATTTCAATGGTTGAGATCATGAGTCAATTGAAGTTAGACCACCGTGGAAAATCTGGAAGCACCGGACGGCCGCCCCGCGGGACTCGAACTCAGAACATATCGGTCTCGCGCGTGAGCGTTTAATCTCTAGGCCACTGAGCTGGCCGGCATCCAACAGTGTTAATGTCTAGCTCCAACCAATCCACGAATTTGAGTGACATATTCACCATTATCTCCAGTGAGTTACTATCTCACAACAGACTCGGTTGAACTCTACAGGTCTGTAATAGGTCCTGGGTTCGAGTCTCGCGGGGCGAGATCGTGGATGAGCACTACTGAGGAGTCCTACGCTGGGAAGAAACGTCCGTCCAGTGCTTGCAGGTTTTCCACGGTTGTTTAGCTTCAATTAACTCATGATCCCGACTATTGAAATTACCATAATATTCACAGAAAACCCTTCTGTTATTAAAATATCCTTTTAAAAAGAGAATTCAATTTATTTATTAATTAGGTGGAAATATCATATAATGATGTCCCAGGTCATTTAATAGAAAAAGTTGAAGCAATCGATAAAGATATTGGTGCAAATGGAAAAATTACATTTTCATTCAATCATAAACAATCTATCAATTCAATGTTTATGATAAGAGAAAATACTGGAGAAATATTTTTACAAAAAGAATTATCCATTAAAGATATAGTAAGTTAGCTGGAATTTGGTTCCCCCCCTGAATTGTAAATATTCATGATGTGTATTAAGTATATTGTAATTAAACACTTTTAGTTATTACATTATTTATTTAGTTGGTAAATAATACATATTGAAGTGTAATTTTCACTAAAGATATTATTTAAAGGTGTAGCTCATATTGTCCTTCTGTACTTCCTTCAACATTCCGGATCGCTTTTTATTATACATGTCTATGATAGATAGATAAGAAGTATTATGACAGATTCATTTGGTATTGTTTGCTTGTATCTTCTTATTGTTGTTTAGGACTGAAATTGATCAGTCACTTGTTGACATATGTGCATTCTGTGAGGACTGCCTCGATCTTGCCTTAATTCACAAGCTTTTTAAGCATAGATATATATAGTGCCTAGTGGTGGAATCTAGGACGCGTATCCTGTATTTTATGGCAATATCGAGGCACATAAGAGACTGATCAATTGCAGTATTAAATAACAATGGGAAGATACAAGTAAGCAACACGAAGTGAATATAACTTCACCCCATTGCACAAGCTGGTGGCTATCAGGACTCAGTAAGTAAGTAAATAATGCGATGGCGTTTGAAGTAAACGGTACTGGGTTCGAGTCCCGAAGTGAAAGTCAAATCTGGGGTGCATCTGAATCCAGCTGACGAGCCCCATGTAGGATAAAACGCGCGTTCTCGATTCCAGTGCTAGCCAAAATCCATCTTTGCTTATTATGGCAAATATTTATTTATACAACTTTTATATTAACTTAAAAGTTTGGTATCATTTATCCAAGTCACGTCTTGAGCAGTTTAATTTTAACATTTCCAATTTTATCTTCAGTAATAAAAAACTATATTTAACTGTTCAATACTAAAACATGGGCTGGAATCATTATCTAAACAGGACAAAGCATACAAATGTAATAGTTAATTTAGTGGGTTTTTTTCATACATATTTATGATGAAAAGCTTCTAGGTTATATTCATTTTTTGAAGGACTGTTAAAACATAACTATTCTGTAGGGGTATTTATGTTCTATCATACAAAACCATTGTAATCATAAGAGCAGACATTTCACATCTACGAAGAAATTAAAAAAAACTAATATAGAATGTAATAAGTCAGAATAATACTCTGTTGAGTTCAGAGTTCACAAGTGTTTCATTATATGGCATAAGTCGATCGACAAGTAACCTTTTGGTGGCCCTATATCTCACTCCAGTTAGATCATTTGCTAATTGTTACCGAAATATAAATGCTGCCAACCTTCGTATGTTTTTATCGACTTAATTTGCTTTAAAGAATAACGGAATAAAATAAGCCAAATACGAGAATGAATTTTCGATATGTATTTTTCATACATTCGTTGATCTAGATAGGCAATCAGAGAAACAAAACGAAGTGAAAGGAAACGAGGCGGTTAATATAGTTGGGAAAGCGACGCGCAGTGGCAAAGGCGAGTGAGCCAACTCAATTCGACCAAGCGCAACTCGACATTTATAGTCAGACCAAAAATAAGTTACAGACACGTAAAGAATAAGGCAAGCAATTAACTCACATACGATCATATAAAAACCGTCAGGGTTAATAAACGAATAAGTAAAAAGATCAAAATGTGAACGAATAAATTTATTTATCCAGAAGCCAGAATAACCTATTTGGACTTGACATAGTACCAGTCACTACAACCTTACCTTACCTAGAAGGTACTTGTCATGAAGGTGTATCTGTAATTTTGAGCAAACTGATACTTTCTATGAGATTACAACTTACGTCATCCTATATTACATTCGAAGAACCTTCCATTAAGACTTACCTTCCATAGAATCTCTCAGCCGATTGATCAATGTTGTATATTTTTAGTGCTTATTATTAGTTTTATTGATCATATCCTACTGCAGTCAAAATTCAGCATCTCGTGCAAGGTATTAAGTCGTTGAAGGCTGTTGGAAGGATGTATCAGACATAGATTTTATGCCAGTCGGAAAGTTATGTTTGGAATCTTTAAAGGAATTGTTCTCAGTGTTATTCAAACACATATTAGTCATTATAATTGTTACTGAGTTTGAATGGGGTAATCGATATTCTTATCAATATCAGTTATCTAAAACAGAGTCATACTTTCAACTGAGCCCTCCAGAAAATGTTGATTTTATTACTTTGGGAAGAAAAAAATGTAGTCTACAACAATTGTCATCGGATTTATTCGACATTTTCCAATATAAGTATCTCAGTAATAAATTAGTTGTTGTTTGTATTTAATGTGGCTAAATGAAATTTACATAATGGGAGTATATTTGTAAAGTGTAAAGTACTTTTTGTGAGTAGTTTGAGATCAGAGAAGATTTTCTGACAGCATTTCAGATGTTTCTTACACTACATTCTAGTGGCTAGCATCTAGTAATGTTGCATTCTCTGAACTAAGTGTTTCAATTATTACGCTTTCATCAACTTCATTGAAATAACATCATTAGCGCCTGCATATAATAAAATATATCATTTTATACTGTTACATTGTATACTTATTCTGTAGTTAGTCGATGAATTTCTCATTTGTACCATAGCTAACGAAATATTTTAAAAGTCAAGTCAAGACTTTGATAAGGGTCAACAATATATCTGACGTGTTTTGGGTTATACAGATAATGATAAAGGGAACTATGTGTATGAAATTGTTAGTGTAATGAAATCATCTCAAAACTGGATAATTTAATCATGAACAATTCATAACATCATAAATATGTGTGTTAATGATGCTGTCTAAAACACTTACACTTTTTAAACAAAGATAAATAATGGCTAGCAGTGAAACCCATGATGCGTGTTTCGTCCTATTTGAGACTCGTCGACTGAATATACCTCTGTCTTAGGGTTGATATTCAATCCTAAATAACAATAGAAAGATAAAGGGAACGCCTCCCTGAACAAGTATTTAGGTCACTGAACCACTTCGTGACAGTACGCTGTAGAATATCAAGAGAAGTGACAAGAGTCAAGTTTTATGGAGAATGTCTCACGTCAGGCTGTTTCCCACGCCTGTTTTAAGATCTTTGCGTTCTTGTAAACTTCCACCATCGTTCAAAAACTTAAGACGAATCACCAAATCTCATAAATCTCAACTTCAAAGGTGATGATGTTGCAAGCACAGTCAACAGGAGACTGAATACTGCGCTAGCCAGAACTTATCCGGCGGCCAAACTTCTAATTCTGTATAAAACAACATGTTCAATAACTCAATCAAAAGTTGATAAGCATCCTTTTCATGTTACCTCCAATTGTATTTATAAATTCACGTATACCTGCCAAAGCAGTTACACTGGTCGAACAGAAATGAGGGCATATCTCAGATTTTTTGAACATGTTCCAAAAAACTACAGAACAAGAGAAAGAACAACTCTAAATAATGCAATCACCAAACATCTCTTTGATACAGGACATCAGGTCGATACCGTGAAATCATTCAAAGTGATTAGTAAGCAGCCAAACTCCAGTCTTCTGAAATTTGCTGAAGCAGTTGCTATCAGATGCCAAAAACCTGATTTATGTGTTCAAAAAAGTAGATGGTTCTGAATCTTTCCTTGCCTTGGTGACTAATATTCTTTCGCTGTGACGAGAATCAACGAAATAAAAAAAGAATTCATGCTATTCTGCTAAAATATTTGTTCTTGCTCTTTTCAATAGAAGGATATAAGTAAAGATACAAGATATTCTGAAATATCTTTTGACATTGTATAATGTACATTTTAAGATGGTAGTGAAGATTTATAGCTCAGGTAAACGATTTTGATTTCATTCCATCAATGTGCCTTTTTACGTGAATAACTCATTTTACATTTTGTTTTTAATTCTTATTATTAGGGAACTATACCATTGATTATATTGGCTACAGATATGGGATTAATACCTAAAACAACAACAACAACAATTTATATAAAAATTTCTGATAAACCAACCAATATATTCCGTTTGAGTACAATAAATCAATATGATTCATCTAATGAACAATTATCTACAACATTCTTAACATATTTTAACATGGATACAAATAAATTTATCATTATTTGTATTATATTAATTACTTTTATTATATGTACAGTATTAATCTCTGTTATATTTACTATATCACGTAATAATAATAATAATAATTGTAATGTATTTAATCATAAAGCTACGGTTACAACTAAACCAATCACTGCATATAATGAGAATACACATAGTTATCATACTAATTTAGTAGAAAAATCTCCACCAGATATAATTAATGTTACATTGCCTAGTAAATCAATCAATTATCCCTTTGATTGTATAGATGTTGTGAATACATTTGAACAAAATAATAATAATAATAATAATAATTATTTACCAACATTTTATGAACAAACAACATCTATGACACTACCATATACATTTCATGAAACAGATTTAAGATTTTATGATCAATTAATGCCAGCTAATGAAAAATTATTAAATGGGTAAGTGTATAATGTTTAACATAAATATTTATTTGATGAAGGTAATTCAGTTTGTAGTGTTGGTTGCTATGTTACGCTCATACAGCTCATATAGGTCAGTTGTGAGGTAGTAATTCACTGATGACAATAGTAGATGTGTCGTTCAATTTCGTGGATTAATTGAAGTTAGACATTAACACTGTTGGATGTCGGCCGGCTCAATGGTCTAGTTGGTTAAGCGCCTGGTGCAAGACTGATAGGTCCCGAGTTCGAATCTCGCAAAATGGGGTCGTGGATGCGCGCTGCTGAGGAGTTCCACAATAGGGTGAAACGGTCGTCCAGTGATTCCAAGTTTTCCATGATGGTCTAGCTTCAATTGACTCATGATCTCAACTGTTGAAATCATACGGGGCAATTTATTTATTCTTCCTAAACCACAATTTGACCTTGTTAATTATTCACTTATTAACCTTGACTGTTTTCATGTAAATGTATGTGATCATTTCCTATCCTACTCATCACATGTCGGTAACTTATTTTTGTTCGGTTATAAATATTGATTAACGCTTGATTAAATTGAATTGGCTCATATGCTTTCTCCACCGCGCGTTGTTTCGCTTCGTTCTCGCTTCTTTACCTCTTTCTATACGTCTCCCTGATTGCTTGTTCCGATCAACGATTGTACAAAATATACGCATTCGAACTCCATTCTCGTATTTGACTTTTTTAATTCCGTTATACACTAATGCGAGTTAAGTCAATGATTATATACGAGGAATGGCGATATGTGTATTTCAATAGTAATTAACATACGATCCTATTGGAGTCAGATCTCGGGTCATAAAAAGTTGTTTTAGTTGGGCACACTAACCTTAGGTCTTTTAGTTCAGTATCCAGTGGCTTTTATTTCAAAATTCAATTATAGCTGTTAACATCCAACTTCATTAGTAATAAACATCTTATCCTTGACATGATTATACTACACTAATTGAACTATCGATTTAAAATTTCGGGAACCTATTTTAAGATATTGGTCAACATCATTTACTGACGTGAAAAATCATTAAAAATCGGAGCGACATTTTGACCGTACAAACCATTGACTTCGAGTTAAAAATTAAACCGAATGAATTGGTCTTAAATTACTAATAATAAGCTTAAAAAATTGATTGCTTAAATGCATGTGATTGCGCAGACCTTCCAATCATTTTGATAGTAAACTCGAATCATAGCCCATCTTTTCCAGTATGAATGATCGGATTTGCAATCACACAACAAATTTTCATGTCGTATTTCAGCATATAGAGAACTAAAGTCATGTATTCATGATAAACGTAAATTTCATAGTCTACTTCTATTGATAAGCATCTATAATCTCAAATGTTCAACTGTTTAATATAAACTTATCAATTTCAATGGTTAAGATCATGAGTCAGTTGAAGATAGACCACCTTGGAAGACCTGGAAGCACCAGACGGCAGTTTCGTCCTATTGTGGGACTTCTCAGCAGTGCACATCCACGACCTTCATGGTGATCTAGCTTCAACTGACTCATGATCTTAACCATTGAAATTACTATAATATCCACAAAACCCCTTCTGATGATAAACTTATCACTTAAAATTGTGACTTTTTATGTTGTGATTGTATCAAAGTTATGTGTAACTTATCAAATTTAAAAACATGCCAAACATAATTATCAAATGAGTATTTTCTTTTTGTATGTCTTCACTCAGACGCCTCGCGCTACATTATTTTACTTATATATGTTATTCTAATTTACAATATGCGAATTTCCATTATTTGTTTATATGACTGATACAAAAGGTGATACATTTCGAATGTCTCCTAGTTGAAATTTGACGCCATTTTTATTACATGTGTTGTTAAAGTAATAAAACAAATGTAAACCAACATTTGATAATGGTCATTTGTATAGTTTAATATTACTTTTTTTAGGTGAGTAGTACTAAACTAGTCATATTCCTGTTGTGATCAATTAAAAAATCTCTGGAAGTTATCAAGTGTTAAGCTTCTTAGTTGCGTCATAATGCTTCCATATCTTACTAGAACAACGTACACAGATGATTATTTTAAACTCTATTTATCAGAAATTATTCAGACAGTGAATTAACGACTAAGGTGTGCTGAAAAAAAAAACACACACTTAATATTTTTGTCAACATAAATGGCAGAAAGTTGTTCATCTCTCATCGTCTTCATAACTCTTACTGAGATGCCTAATTTACTTGAACAGAACTGTGTTCTTCAGTAAGTTACCTTTATAACCACACATTAATATTTCAAGTTATATCGAAGGAACTTATATATACCGCTCATTTTGTGTATTTGTTAGATGGATTGTGTAGAATTATTTAGCTGACATTAGCTTGTGATGCATATGATTTTCGTTTACTTATAAGTAAAATCATTTTTCCTTGATATTCTTCAACATAAGTGAGTAAGAATTCTTTGATGAAAATGTGTTTATAATTGTGAATCACGGCCTCAGCATACACAAGGGGAAAACCAAGGTCCTCAAATACAACACGGAGGACAGTAATCCAATCACACTTGATGGCGAAACTCTGGAAGATGTAGAATCCTTCGTATACCTGGGAAGCATCGTCAATGAACAAGGAGGATCAGATGCAGACGTAAAGGCAAGGATTGGCAAAGAAAGGACAGCATTCTTACAATTGAAGAACATACGGAACTCAAAACAACTTCCAACCAATATCAAAGTCACAATCTTTAATATGAATGTCAAGGTAGTTCTACTGTATGGAGCTGAAACTTGGAGAACTACAACAACCATCATCAAGAAGGTACAAGTATTTATTAATAGCTGTCTACGCAAGATACTCAACATCCATTGGCCGGATACTGTCAGTAACAGCCTTCTGTGGGAGAGAACAAACCAACTTCCAGCTGAAGAAGAAATTAGGAAAAGACGATGGAAATGGATAGGACATGCATTACGCAAATCGTCAAACTGCATCACGAGGCAAGCCCTTACTTGAAATCCTTAAGGGAAGCGGAAAAGAGGAAGGTCAAAGAACACATTACGTCAGGAAATAGAATCAGATATGAAAAGAATGGATTACAACTGGGAGGAGATGGAAAGGATTGCCCAGGACAGGGTTGGATGGAGAATGCTGGTGAGCGGCCTATGCTTCTTCACGAGGAGTAACAGGCGTAGGTAAGTAAGTAGGTAAGTAAATGTGAATCACGCGTAAGATAAACTTTACAAACTCTATGAAACTAATGAACTGGCATTGAATATTATGATGAATAAAAAAACGAATTAAAGCGAAAATAACACTGAATAATCAAATATTGAAACATGCGAGACTCGAACCCAGAACTTTAGGTATCACATATGAACACTTAACTTTTAGACCTCTGAGCCGGAATCTAACAGTGTTAATGTTAGACTTTAATCAATCCATTCCACTTACGAGATCATGGATGTATATTGCTGAAAAGTTCCATACTAGAATAAAACAACCATGCAATACTTTCAGTAATAATAATGATATAGCTTGAATCTTTATACATTCTCATTCAGATATTTACAAGATATTCATTGTTTGTTTTGTTTGTTCTTTTCTTTTTCTTTCTTGAAAATAAAACTTTAGCTTTCAACCAACAGAAAATAATATACAAATTCAAACATCACTTAATCATTTCATTGGAAATGAACAAACTGAACCATTAATTCATAATCATATAAAATCATTGAATGAACCATCATATACTACTAATAAATTGATTACTAATTATTATCCAACTTATAAATTGAATGATACATTATCAAATTATAAAAGTACTAATCCAATAGAACATTCTAGATATTGTGATACAATAAGTAATTTGCCTATTTCTTTTATAAATAATAATGATTCTATTCATAATATGAATAATAATAATTTCCCTTCAATTCTTCATTCCAAAGATGATTCATTACAATATCCTTTCACATCCAATCAATTCACTTATGGTAATTTTTAAAATGACCTCACTTCATTGTAAACAAATTTAATATAGTTTTGTTTGTTTGATTAAAACAAAACATTATAATTTTGCTTCTTTCAAACAAACTGGCAAACATTTCAAATCACAACAACATATACAATTTCTCTTATTGAACACATTGAAACTGTTACTTAAACTGGTTACACATAACCTGTTGTATTATTTGTAATTCATTAAACAAAATAAGAACAAAAAATTGGACTGAGATACAATGACCTATTACATAATTGCATTATGTATAATGCTTAGTTATATCTATATAAAGGTTACGCAATCTTTGTATAATGGATTACTCTTTATGTAAAATTTTATTTACATTTAAAAGAATAAAGTAAACTTTGAAAAGTTATTTTGACCGTATTTTTTTTAACATTTTGGTTGATTATTATCAGAAAGGGTTTTGTGGAGATTTTAGTAATTTCACTGTTTGAAATCATGAGTCAATTTCGGCCGTTGAGGAGTCCCATACTAGGACGAGACGGCCGTCCAATGCTTCTAAGTTTTCTAGCTTCAATCGACTCATGATTTCAGTCAGCGAAATTTCTAAAAACTCTACAAAACTCTTTCTGATAGTAGTCATCTGCTCACTAGTGACTGACTTCAAGAGATACTCCTGGAGTTCTAGTGAGAAGCCGTTACCAGTGGAGTTCAACCAGGTCTGTTGTGAGATAGTAACTTACTGAAGACAATGGTGTACGGTGGCGCAACTTCGTGGATTGGTTGAAGTTAGACATTAACATCGTTGGATGTCAGCCGGCTCAGTGGTCTAGTTGGTTAAGCGCCTGGCGCGAGACTGATACGTTCTGGGTTCGGATCTCGCGGGGTGCGAGATCGTGGATACGCACTGCTGAGGAGTCCCACAATAGGACGAAACGGCCGTCCAGTGCTTCCAGATTTTCCATGGTGTTCTAGCTTCAGTTGACTCATGATTTCATACAGTGAAATTTAGATTGATTGATTACTGATGAAAACAAATTTGTTTGTTTGTTTTTAGTCTGTCAGACAGTGAAAAATTTGACTTATTTGATAACAGTTCACTTATGATGAGATGATAATGAAGATTTGTTATTGTAAATGGAAGATATCGGTAGAGATGAGTTCTTTCAATTAGATGTAAGCAAGTAAGTAAGTGTATGCATACATATGGCTCAGTAATCATATTGAATATTTTACACAAAGCTTTCAGTACAATATAACGCGGTCCTATTGTTTCTGGTTTGAAATTCTAGAAAGTTTTTTTAAGGTTTTGACAGTCTCTCACCTTTTTAATAGATATGATGTTTAGTAATGATAGTAATTGATTGTGTCATGCATCCCAGTAACAATAAATAATAATCAGTAGATAATATACTTGTGGAACACTTTAACGGTTATCTTTGGTTAAGTATTCGATGAATAATTCACTGTTATTCAATGAGATAAGTACTTTATTTAGACTACATTAAAGACATAAACACTAGAATTAAGATATATTCAGTTGACGAGTTTTCAATACGGAGTGAATATTCGCTCTTAGTTTCAATCGTAATCATATTTTCTTCAAATGAAAGATTGGGAATACTGTTAAAACTTGCTATAAAATTTATAGTTTAAATACAATTTCAATATTCATATCTTCATGATTAAAACGGACTCAAATAAACAATAAGTTATGTAATCAACTTAAAATCATCTGATTTTTTTAATAGTTGAGATCATAAGTCAACTGAAGCTAGAACACCATGGAAAACCTGGAAGCACTGGACAGCTGTTTCGTCATATTATGGAACTCCTCGGCAGTGCGCATTCACGATTCCACCGCAGGACTCGAACCCAGGACCAATCAGTCTTACGCGCGAACGCTCAACCTCTAGACCACTGAACCGGCTTTCGACGGCATTACTGATTAACTTCAATCAATCCACGAAATTGAGCGATACATCCACCATTGTGTTCAGTGAGTTACTATCTCACAACCGACCCGGTGGATCTCCACTGGTCACGGCTTTTCACTAGAACTCCTGGAAATACCTCTTGAAGCCAGTCTTTATTGAGCATATGATATACACAAAACCACGTCTGATATTTTTAGAGTTGTTTTAAAATATATGAAACTTTGTATTGACTGAAATCATCACTCGTTATGTGAAATCAGTGTCATTTTATTCATAAGTGGAATGGAAATTACAATCTTTGGAAAACATTCAACAAGTAAATACAGAAAAAAAAGAAATAAACATCGAATAGAATTCTTTGTTATTCCTGAATTATTGGTATCTAAGAAAAATGTTTTAAGAAAATATATCGAAACGTCTCTTGGGATGTGATCTCATACAAAACTGATTTTAAAAGCTTCAAGTTCAATAACGAGTACATTGTATGAATCACCCTATTTAGTTTCGTTATTTTTGCGAATTGGTAACTATGACACATGAGGTTGTAAAGGTTGTTGAATTTTGTAGTTTATTTATAGATAGAGATTATTTAGATAACAGTTGATGACCAGTAAACCCTGGGGAGTTGTTTCGCCTTAATACGGAGCATTTTGGCTGTTAATATCTAAGACTCCATTAAGAACCCAAAACATGATCATCAGGTCTCGCAGCAATGACATTGAAAGATAGTTAATTGTATGTCGTAAATGTACACCATTGAAAGCTGGTTCAATGGTCTACTAGATAAGTGTTCACATCGAGATCTGATAATCTTGAATTCGGTCTCTAATGGGAAAAATGGGTCCTCACCGCCGTAGAGTTCTACACTAGGGAGAAAAAACTATTCAGTACTTCTTAATTTTCAGTGCTTGTCTAACTACGTTCGATCCATGATATAATTTTCAGTTGGCATTTGGAAGGAGCATCCAGCATTGTAAATATCATTAAGTGTTCACCATTAAATTATTGATATGAATAACGAACCCATGTATACATTGAACAAAGAAACATATTGTGTAGTTTTACTACACAAACTGATCTTAATTAAACGACCATGGAAAAGCATTATGAATTAAACGTCTGTTTTGTCCTATTATCAGACCCCTCCGAAGTCCACACCCATCACCACCAGGTCTTTCATTTCCCAAAGTGAGTTCACCTGGTTCAGATTTCCAGCTTTGATTAATTCGATAAACGCTTATTTCATTAGAGAATGGTAGGAGAAATCGGTTCTGATGATGAACAATATTATGTTCCAATCACTGATCACTTTACACTTACAATTGTATTTATCAACCAAAAATGTTAAATAATTTATTTTCTGGTACTTGTAGAACAATAGAATAATCAAACATTAAAAATTACATCTTATCTACTATCCTATTGCTAAATGATTATATAATGACGTCAGGACTAAAATGGTTATTGATTAATAAACCAAACAGTAAGAAAATAAAACTACAGTAAAGTAGTCGAACTGTTAAATGTTTACGTAAGCACGGGGGAAAATACTAACTTGTTGGTTATCAAAGTGTAACATTTAATAATTTGGTCAAATTTATTTATTTAGTTATTTGAACACATAAATATTGGTACAAGAGGGCACCAACTATATATGCGCCACACCATATTTGTATGTGTGGGCTGTGATACTGCCCGGGTGCCCAAAACGAAGCAGGTGGTTTTCCCAGGGGGCCATACCCCGAGCCTTTGACCTGAAGGTCTAATACACAAGGCAGTGGAGCATCGTAAGGAGATGCAGTCCCATGGTAGCCGGTGACCAACGATTGGTTCATACGCCATTTGTTCCGGCAGGATACTGGAGCCCATATGCACCATTGGTTTGGGATCCGGTTAAAGCGCCAGACATTCGCTTTTCGTCCTCTCATTTTCGTAAACAACACCCCCGCCAAGAGAAGGCAGTAAGTAGGACTTCCCTGTCAGAGGCTATATACACGTGGCCGTGTGAGAGCATTTCGAGAAGAAGGGAGGGCCCACTCCACTCTTGGCCATACCAGGGCACTTACTTGTATGAGAAAACTACCAATTATCAGGTTCTCCTGAAATATAATCAACAAAGATGAATTGTTCCGTTAAATAAACAAGTTACATTCATTAATGGCTGATTACTAATCAAGATCATGATTTTTATTCTTTGGTATTTATGATATCATATCAATCAAATAACCAATGAATCTCTTAGACTAAATGCTTAGATGTTACGGGACACTTTTAACTTCACCTCAAGTTGTTAAGGGATACTTTGTATAAAACGTTTCTGTTTTCCAACTTGTGATGATTGACTAACAGTTCAATAATGAAGGACTTTGATTACAATATTGGTTAACAGTCTAATTTAAGTCTTATCGAGAATATCATTTGTTTAAAACAGATGTAGCATAAGCCATACATTTAAGCTGATTAGACTCAAATCATAGAATAGAAACCTAGACAATTTTATAAACAAGATTCTCATTTTTATCTAACTATATGATTCATTATTCCTATCGGTTAAAATACTCCAAGATTTATTTATATTCATCAACGTAGTTTCTTTATATAAATTTTTCCATCTATTCGTTTATGATAGATCGAATTGTACGATTTGATTATCTTAATCTTTATCGTTCATTCTTATCATTTCAAAGTGATTCATCTAAAGTCGGTAAATTGCGTGAAATTTGATTCGGATCTGTGTTGTTGTCTTATTTGATTGTTGGGTATTATTTCATTTCGTTTTTTTTAGAAAATTACGCATCGGTCACAAATTAAACTTTGGGTAAAGAGTAGTTCTCCTCTACAGTTTTTTTTTCACTCTCTCACTCTCCATTAACCTCACATCATGATGTTGTGATTAATAGCGGATGTTTAACTTTGTATTCAACCTTCTGTTGAATACAGTAAAATCTAAATAAAAGCTAAAAATTATCACATATTCGAGGAAATTGTTGTTTTCTAGAAGAAATTTAAAGATCTGGCACAAGAAGTAGGGAAACTAGAAAGTTATCGGATCTTAGAAGAAACAGATGACTGAAATAATTATAACCACAAACTGATATTAACTGATGAACGTCTGAAAAGTGAAAGCATAGCGTTGTTAATTTATTATTGTCTCGGATATTTCAGAAATATGAAGCTACAATTTAATATGATTATGACGGATGTAAGTTGTATGATACTATCTTTTGATAGTCTAAAATGATGGAAATAAAGTGGTTGAATGGCGTCTATGCACAGAGAGCTTTCAATGAACTGACATTAAAAGACAAAAACATTTTAACACAAAATATATTTCGATAAAACT